TATGTTTAAATAATAAATTGCCATGATAACTTTTTATCGGTAAAAAAAAACATATATAATTTTCTTCGTGAGTTTTGTTTCGCAAATGTAATTACAATGTCATTAAAGTTCATATTTATGGTAAGTGCAGATTGAATAGATAACCTAAAAAGACATTAATAACAGTCATTCCCGACCTCATATAAGAATTAACTCTCTTTAATGCTTAAAATGTTCTCTCGACTGAACGATTGTCGGGTGGACATCAAAAAACCCGGTGAACTTTAAATTATGATTTCTCTAAAACCAATAATGCTTTTCATTTCTTTTACTTTTTTTAATTAAACTTTACTTCCTTATTTTTAATCGCTTTTATAAATTTTTGTTTACAAATTAATGATTTGCAAAATTTTTTGGAAACAAATTGATGTGCGTAAAAAAAATGTGATTTTTTTTTTGCAAAAATCCATTGACTTTATATCGCTTGATTGCTAAACATACAAATGTCCCAAAATCTACAGTCATAGATATTATAAATAAGTTCAAGACTACTCAAAGCTTTGGAAGAAAACATGGAAGTGGAAGAAAGAAAGCTTTCCATAAATCCAAAAAGATAAAGTCGATTTTACGTTTAATAGCAAGAAATCCAAACCAGTCACAGCGAGATCGAGCAAGAAAATTCAAGATTTCGCGTTCTCATATTATAAAAGTATTTAAAAATGCTAGGATTATAGAATTTCATAAGTAAAATACACCTTAGAAAAGCTTAAATGGTGAAATTAAATGAATACGACGCTCAAAGAAGTTGGTTAAAATAATGGCGGATAAAACTATGTGTATAATTGAAGACGATGAAACATATTGCAAGACGGATTTTTCACAACTTCTTGGTCAACAATTTTACTATGAGAACAAAGATGAACCTGTCGATGATTAATTTAAACATATTTGACAAGAAAATTTTTCATCCAAGTTTTTTGTGTGGCAAGCAATTTGTAGCTGTTGTATGCAGTCCTCTTGTTTTGTCACTAAGATGACCTTGAATGTCAATTTCAACATCAACAAATGCCTTAAAAAAATGACTTTTGCCATTTATGAAAAAAAACTGATATCGATGCCTCTTTTAGACAGATTTTGCTGCTTTTCACTATTATTAAAAGTTCTACAGTAGTGCAAAGCTAACTATTTGAAAATTGTACCTAAAGATGCGTATCCTCCAAATCGTTTTAAAGAGCACAAGATTGATGATTTTGGGGCAATAGTTAAAGGAGTTCTTCGTAAGACAGGTGGAGTAACAAAAAATAAAAATATAAATCCAAAAAAAGTGGATTAATGCTACCATTAAGGTAAAAAAAGAAAAAAATTGCAAAATAATGGCATTAACCCGTTATAAAATTCGATTTCTTCCCAAGCAGTCCATCAAGTCCCTTAAAATTAAGATGAAACTCTAATTCATGTAAACACATTTATCCTTATAGATATATCCTTAATGTTATATCTACATATAGTAGATGTAGTATTAATGATAGTTATATAGTTCTTGAAGTTTATCAGTTCGGATCATTTTACAAATATTTATTACATTTTTAGGTCTTATGTTTTCAGTTTAATTCATTAAATAACTTCTGAATTGTATACATTCGTTAGCAAATGAAGTCGAAAAATCATTTTTCATATATATATTTTGAAGTATTTCTGCTTTTTTGTAAACTTCTGATTGTGATGGAGTTTTATTATTTGAAATAAAAAGTTGTGCTATGATGAAGCCGATAAATTTTTTATCGGCTTCATCATAGCACAATATTTTTCTTTCTAGTTTAGAATGTAGTTTATCAGTAATAGCATAATATGTATTAATCCTTAAAGAGTCTCGAATTTCCAAATTTATTTCTTCTTTTCTTTTTTCATCTACAGTTAATTTTCTCTTTCATTTGCGTATATTTCGATATGTTTTGTGTCACGATTTATTAACTCTCTCTCTCTCTTCATAGATATCAAACATACTCCTCAGACCTAATACATGTCGAATTAACGATTTGCATAAACTTAAAACTTTTTTTAAATCATTTAACTGACTGCAAATTCTATTTTTGTTGAACTTTTCTAGTATATCACCTCTTAATATAGCCATTATTTCAAAATATTCCATTACCTTCTGATTTTGTGATTGACTTTTGTGATATATCATCTTTGATAAAAAACAATGCATTAACTATTTCATTTCAATTTTTGTGTAAACTTATTTTTGCATCAGATCTGGCTGACCACTTGGTACCTTATAGTTTTTAAAGGATACATTTTCTGTTTTTATTAAATTGTTCTGAAGTATTTCTTATCAATATGTAAAAGTACTGAAAAAGTTATGGACATTTTGAAGCAAAATAAAAAATTCTGAAGCATTTCTAAAACAGTGCAACCACCTTCAAGATTTAAAGTGTGTGCCCAGCATGGTACAAATGTAACTAAAGAATTTACTTCTTTTATGCGAGCTTGAAGTTCTACCTTGAAAAACTACCAGACATGTTAGACGCGTTGTAATCGTAACCACAACTATTGTTTATATTGAATCCATGCAATTTCAAAACTAAATATAACATCTGCTAATTCTTCAGCTTTATGACTAGAGTTGGATAAAAACTCTAAAAATCTTTTTACGGGACAAAATCTTTTTAACGGACAGACATTCTATTGAACATACCAAAAAATGATTACAGTTGATTTACACGGCTAATATCAGAAGTAGAATCATTACTAATGAAAAAATATGCTTTCTTCATTTCATTCACCATTTGTTGTATAAAATTATCTGCTATTATACCTATGAACTACTCATGTATATTAAAAGATAGGTTCTATTCTCTAAAAAAAGGTCCTCCAAAAAAAGGTCAAACTGAGAAACGTGGCTTTTTTTACCAAATCAACGTTTTTGCACTAATAATTTGCGCATAGTTATGTTTAATTTGCAAGTGGACTTTGATCGCCTTTTGAATGATACTTTCTTCTGCCAACCATATACATTTATAACTTTTATAAATATGAATGGTAATATTCTCGTTTAAAAAAAAATGCGCACGTATACTTGTACGCAGAAAAGCTAATAATTGGAAATTTTGCTCAAAAAAATTGGATAAATAAATGTTTACAAGTCTATCTATGATTTTGACAAGATAATAATAAAAAAAATTTTGTGAAAATAATATAAAATTACTATTTAACTACTTTCTAATATTCTACCATTCTGACGGCTGACGCCCTATCAAAACTCGACGAATGGGGCTAAAACCCCCCTCTGGGGGCTTTGGCCCCAGGGATATAATTAGTCAACGTTTAAAGATAAAATTTTTTGACTGTTTTGCACACGCGTCATTTTGTAGAAGGGTCTGAAAAAGAGAATTTTCCTGTTGTAAATTATGAGACTTTTTTTTTTACGAGATCTACGTTCCTTTGAGAATCGCTGAGCAAAATTTTAGCTAAAAAAAAACAACTCCAACACCTAATTGTTGTCAATTATTGACAGTATATGACAGAGAGCGTTTGATGATATTTTTCTGTCATGTTTCATAATAATTGTTATAAATCTATTTTAACTGTTACAACAACAACAAATTTTGTTACTATTTTATAATCTTTATAATAAATTATAAATCTTTGACAAATGTTGACTATATAGGTTTTAAAAATCACTATCGAACTATTTTTTGAGGCGGAATACCTAGATAAACCTAAAAGAAATATTGGTGTTGAGACCGGCGGAAGCTTTGTTATTAAATGCAATTCCGCATTAAATGTTATGTGCTTTGTGATAGGATCATTGTGTTTTTTTAGAGTAACTTAAAAATCAATTAATTAAACACGCACAAATTTATTTTTAAACGATGTTGTTCTTGGTCAAATACTATGTAGAGGTCGACAATCCCTAAAGCATATTAACCATATATGTTATATAAATGATTAACAATACATAAGTTTAGTATTTGTTTGCTTTCTTCTCCAATAAAGAAAAGTGGATAACCAACTCTAGCATTTTTTTTTAAATTTGAATGGTTTAATGTTTGCTCAGTTTGCATTAAGATTTTTGAAAGATTGTTAGAGAGTTAAAATTTCTTACCAAATTTAAATTACACTGGTTACAGGTTTTTCTATCAAAGAAGTTTTTGTAATTTGCAAAATTTATGGTGGAAAGCCATTAGCTACAGTTTTGTTATAAATTTTTACACAAATGATTCTTTGAACGTCTTACCCAGCTAACACAAAACGTTCAAGTACGTTTGACGAACGTTGCGAACGTTCGAGCACATTTTATGAACGTTCATAGAACGTTCTTGAACGTTTTGTGTAAGCTGGGTAGTTTTGATTTCCATGATAGATTTTAATTATCAAAAATCAACTTATTAAAATCTGTTTGATGTTTGTTGTTTACAAAAATTTAATTAATTACAAAAATGAAGATATAATCCTTTGTAAGTTTTACTGAAAACGTAACCCAGATAGCACAAATTCCTTGGGCCATGATTGGGCAATTATTGGCTACTATATTGGGCAAATATTGGCCGCAAACATTGGGCAAATATTGGGGAGCTCAAATCGGGTCTTTATTGGGCAAACATTGGCCGATTGCTGGATAAATCATGGCTTCAATAATGGGCCATTATTGGTTTTGATTGGCTTATCATGGCCCAACATCGACCATTAATAGGGCGATGTAGGTTAATACTGGCCTAACGTTGGGCAATTCAAGCCCAATATTGGCTAATTTAAGCCCAATATCGGCCAATACAAGCCTAATATTGGCTTTTCTTGGCACTTCATATATTCACACATTTTTTTTGGCAACAAGAGCTTAGAATTGTCATTTCCATGCTAACAAACTTGTAATACATAGAATATTACACTGAATTTCTTTTCAAAATAATCTTTTTAAAATAAAAGGAATGCCGATTTGTTTGAAATAAAATTCAAAAAACATAAGTCATATAAAAGAAATTTATTCGATAAATATTCTCAACCAATATTCAATAAAATAACAATGTAAAAAAGAAAATAAACACATAAAAAACACTTTATTACATTTAATATAAAAATTAAATGTCTTCTAAAGAATTATCCTCTACGCCTCTCCTAGCGATTTTTTCGAGACCATCCATGTCAATTGAACTTGATAGCCATTTTGGAAGCATCTTGTCCGGTTGACTAATTGTCGCTTAGGGATAGTTTTCTTACTGCACCTGCATAAACAAATATCAAGAGTAATCAGAGATAAAAAGAAAATAGAAAAAATAAAAATCTATCTATCAAAATAAAACTTTAATCCAACATCACACAGATCACCTGTGTATACATTAGGGTTTTAATCTGGTGTTAAAATGAGAATGTCATTGTAATTTTTAGTTTAAAGTAAAAGGACATCTGAGATGTTTAGAAATATGACACTTTAATTTTAAAACCAGAGTAAAACCCTAATGTGTAGGACATAGTTGGATACAAGATCTGGATCCAATTACCTGGGTACCTGTATCCTAATTTTGAGATCTGAACTCTATTTTGTTTGGATATTCAGTTCCACAATATTTTTACCGATACCAATTTTACACAATAATTTGCCATAAAAAATTCCTCATACAAAAGGTCTAATCCTTTTCTGCCTCTAAAGGCAAGGAAAAGTCACTTAATTTAATGGTCAGCACATGAAAAATTGACTACACAGAATGAAAAGTCTAATACTCTGATTAACAACAATAACTCTGCATTTATGTTATTTTATTGATGTATGTTAGCAAGAAAATATATAATTATTATTTCTACAATTATATAACAGATTATATAGAAAAAATATTAAACAATTTATTAAAATAGAGATATAAAAAAACACAAATTAATAAAAAATAGCTTACTGTTCTTGATCACTACTCAGAATCTTGCAATTGGGTTGATTTCCAGAAGATCATATATCTCTTGGAGTGGAAAAGTCAAGGCATCTGAGAGAGGTGCATTAATGGTTTGTCCGATGCAGGCTTGTTTCTGCCACTGCTCATTAACATCAGCTTTCAGCTCTGGTTTACCAAACCTTTTGTGAAATGTAAGTACAATTAGACATATAGATGTAGTGGTGTAGGAAGTGATTAATGCATCATCGTTTGTGGCGTTTGTAGTTCTTCTTCTTAGCTTGAGCTCGAACCCTGAAAAGTAATTTATAACTTTTTTTTTAATCATAAGGTATAAATGAATGCTACCCACTGTGTTTGCTTTTTTGGCATATCAATCAAAATATGTAAGCATAGATGGTAGAGTATGATAATAGAATTGGTACCATTTTACTTACCTCCACTTTTCAATAACCATAATTATGGATAGAAAGGTCAGTGTTTATTATTAATATGAGTGCATTTCTTATTTCGCCTATTTTGTGGCACCTATTCCCTGAGGCCAAAGCAGCTAGTGGATTTCTTTAATAAACTACAACATTGAACTACTGCCATTACCTCCTGAAAAACGAGTTGACAAAACATGGTAAACTGTAAGAATAAAGAAGTATATATAAACAAAAATAAAATTTTTATTATTGTATTGTAAAACAAATGGGATTTACATCTTTCATTATTACATTATAATTATCATAATGATTTTGTTAAATAATACAAATGCATATTTATAAAAATTTATTATAGAATATTTATGATGCTTATAATGATGATAGTGATGATGATGACGACGATGATGAGAATAAAAGTTTTAGAATAAATAATAATGAGAGTAATTTTATTTATAAGTTTTTCTACCTTATATCACATTTTTCACCCCAACTAGACAACCAAACTCTAATTTACCCTTTTCTTCCTGTAATGTTATAAAGCATTGAGAGTTTTGCTGTCAAGATTTCCTTAGCGACTTTTCTCAAACAGTCATCAAGACCATTTCCTTCAATTAGAGATAAAAAAATAACCTATAAAGAAATAAACATTTTCCATTTGCTATTGCATACGAAAATGAGTTTATACTAAAGTATAAATGTTATTATATATGAAGTCAATTCGAAATAGAAAAAAATATACTAATTTAATTTAAAAAATAAAGGTAAACTTTTATATTCTTTATATTATATAATGATAATATTAGACTTACTGCATTTGATCGACATTCAGTATTTTCCAGAAAAATGCTATTTAACTGTAAGAGTTCATCAATTTCTTTTAATGGAAATATAAAGTTTTCTGGAAGATTTCCACTTGTATTATGATTAATAGAAACTTGCTTTTGGCGCTGCACACCTAACTCTGACTCCAACTGTTTAATAACACTATGAAAATATGGTCGAACAACATCAGCCACAGCTTGTTTTACTAAATCAGGAACTATCCAAAAACAATAAATTATATTTACAAAAAATTTTCAGGTATGTAGAGACCTCTAAATGACCCTAGGAATTTTGGAAGTTACAAAATCGTTATTTTTGCATAATTTCTAGTGTTTAAAAAAGTTAATGCTTTTAAAAAAGTTTTTTAATGCTTTTAAAAAAGTTGAGAGACTTTGGAACTATAAACGTTAACTGCAAAATAAAAAATAAAAAAAAACCTCTAACTTATTAGAGCACCAGGAACCATAAAAAACTTAGTATTTTGTAACTTTCAAAAGCGGTCTATTATAAAAAGACCACCTTTTTGAAAATATAATTGAACACATATGCCAAACTTGCAATATATAACATATTAATCTTAAAATATTATTTTAAATGCAAAACTTACGAATTGAAGATGTGATGTTTGTGCTAGAACTAGCTGGTGGTTTATCAATTCGATCTGTGGAAGTGGTTGAAGTTGACTGTCTACATGATTTTTTCTTTTTCTTGTTTTTTTAATTTTCATTTTTTTACCTTTTTCTCAATTGAAATGTCAGGACTCCTAAAATTGAAAACAAAATGTTAATAAAATTGTAATGTAAATAATAACGAATATAAAATTTCAAGCTAAGAATTCTAGTTTGCATTTAGAATCATTTAGAATATTGCATTTTGAAAATATACAATAAATATGATATACTTTACCAATGTGTTTGCAAATTTTTCCTCTTTAAATCATGTTTTATTTCTGAACAACTTGAAGAAAAATTTGTGTAGTACAAAGATTTAGCCTCTGCCTTTTTCATTTTTTCATAGTCTGGAAAATTATAATTTGCAGAAACAATCATATAATCAAAACTTTCCAAAACCATATAGAAATTATATATCTCTAACTTTCAATATTCTTATATAAGAATAAAGAGGCCAATCTTTGTGATTAGGAATTAATAACTTTTTTCATTTTTGACCATTGTGTAGCACCAATTCCCTGAGGCCAATAACATGTAGCTGATTCTTGTTACAACCAGCAATCAAGAACCACCGCCACTTTATCCTCAAATTCAACTAAATATTACATTACTAACTGAAATAAAAAGATAAACATAAAAAATACCAAATACTAATACTGATATGCAAATGAGCGCCAATACAAATATTTAGCAAAAAAAAAAAAAAAATTCCAGTTTATTATTTATGTATTTGAGGCTTCATAGACAGAGGAATACAAACAAATTTGGACTTCCATGGTAGTATAACATATTTTTTCTGTATTTCATCTGTTGTGGCAGATTCATATTGACATGATAACTTAGAGACCTTTACTATACCAAAACATTCGAAAGAATTTGCAGGATATCTAAAGAAATGTTCAATAGTAAGAAATTTTTCATAAACAATAAAATGCCTATTATCACCATGAAATTTTAATATGTTACAAATTAAACAAAAGTCATTTTTTATTTTTATGCAATTGTTTCCTTTTGAAGTAGAGTAAAAAATTCCATTTAAAATAGACACTCTGTTTGTGCTCTTAAAACAATAGGACCATTTTCAAGCAGCTTCCTGGGAATGCCTTCCTTCATACATTTATCAGAGTTTCTTATAATTGATCCATTTCTTTCAGATATACGCCGGATAACCTGTTGAAGTGGTATATAAGGTTTATGTATTAAATGCTTTAAATACCCAGAAAATTTTCAAACAGAAATGCAGAGTAATTATAAACAGATCCAAATCTTTTTACATCACTTGCAATGTGTATTAGGCTGTGTATATTGTAGCTAATAAAACCTCTGCCATAAATTTTTATAGCATTTTTTACAAAAGCGCGTAAGATAATCAGCATGACTTTGATAAAGATCTGAACTGGCTAAACAGTGTATCCCAACAAAAAACAAAAGAAAATTGTTGTATACAGATTTCAAAAGATGTCCTTTTAGTGCAACAATGCCACTGTATAATAAAAATTGACTGAATTTCACTGCTTTCCAACGCTCTATGTCACTTAAATACATAGAGCGTTGAAAAGCAGTGTTTTTAATAAAAAGCCCTGTTAGTGATGAAATAAGTGAAATACATCTTATTCCATCACTAACAGGGCTTTTTATTAAAAACATCAAAATCTTTTTCATTACTCCTAGACACACTAGGTGCATAAAATCAAGTGAAAACTGAGTTACCATTCCAATAGACAATTTTTTAAGTGGAGTATCTCCAATGTGATGATTAGCATCTGTAATTTCATTAAAAGAATGATCAGTTCTAAGTGGAGCATCAGTTTTAAGAAATGTAACCTTACTGTGCCATTCCCTTTTTTGGATACACTTATTACAACTGTAATATCCACTATGTCCTTTAGTTTGTTTTTTATATGCCCTTGCAGGAATACCACATACAAAGCAGGATATACCAATGTTTATTGAGTATTTTGTACCATCTACATCAATTTTAATAGGACCTTTTTCCAATTCTAACATTTCTTCAATGAAATCTTTTAAATATTCATTCAAGTTAACCAAAATTGTTGAGTACTTGACTTCTGTAAAGGTAATCCATCAATATTAATTTGTAAAGAAAGAGATAGAGTTTCAGAGCAAATACTTGTACAAAAATAAGGCAAATGAATTATGTGTTGCAATGAATTAACAACACCAAAGTGATAATAGGAGCCCCCTTCAAATGTTTTGACAGTTCTTGCTCTAGGTGTTTTTGTAACATTCGCGGATCTTTTGGAAGTGATGGGTGAAACACTCTAAGTATATTCAAAAGTGAAGATACTGCAACCATCGGAATAGAAAATGATGCTGCCCACATTCCTAAATCAAATGATAGCTCTCTTTTTTCATTTTCAATATCAGGTTCGTTTTCCTCACACTTTCCTCATTTCCCAACTATTTGTTACAAATTCGTCATAACTACTATTTTCAGTCAACTTTTCTCTGTCTATTGAATTTAAATACAGCATATTAAACTCAGAATCGTTATTATATTTGGAGTTATCAAGAATTATATTTGGAGTTATCAAGAATTGGAGAGAAGTGATCTAATAAATGCTGATTACAAACAACATGATCATCTTTTTCATGATCATCATGTCCTACAATATTATAAAGAATAAGAGTCTTAGACTCTTATTCTTTTAATGATATTGTAGGACAAAAAGATGATCATGATGTTTGTAATCAGCATTTATTAGATCACTTGTCTCCAATTCTTATAAAGCTTTAAAAAAAGATTTATATGTCATGCCTCTTATTAAGAGGCATGACATATAAAACTAACTTTTTTTAAAGCTTTATTATTATTAGAAATAAAAAATTCTGTATCAATATCGAACATAATTTTGTTGACAGATTTAACTATTTTTCTTCTCTTTGACCAATAAGTTTGCACAGTATCCATGATCTGTTGAAATCCCTTTTTATATAAGATATATTAACTTTAGTAAAGCTATAATGATAATAAACTAAAACTATGGAAAAAAAATATGTGCATAATTCAAATATATGTATACTTTGAAATTGAATTTAAAATACAGTTCTAAATTTAATTCAGTTCTGAAATAATAATATCTTATTTCCAATAATAATATTAATAATATTGGTCCAAAATGATCAATGATATATTAAAAATAACTAGATGTCTAACTTCTGGGTATTTTTTGAAGCAAAAATCAGTCATTATGGGGGGCAAAAATAAATAGTAAATCACGGTTGTTTGGATCAAATAATATTCAAAAATTAGAAATCATGGTTAATTCTTGTGCAGCAGCAGGTTGCACAAATAGAACAATGAAAAACAACAACAGAGTATTTCATAAATTTCCAATTAGTAATAGCGAACTCTGTAAAAAGTGGATTGTTGCTATAAAACGTGAAACATTCCTACTGAGCACAGCTGCATTTGTAGTGATCACTTTTTACCTTCAGATTACAATATACCTGATTTTAATAACAAACCGCAATTAAAACCTTTTTCTATGCCATCTATTACTATTGATTCAAAACCAAAAGTCAAAAGAAAATTTAGTTCTTTAGTTTCGCCACAAACAAATAAAAAGAGACTCATTTAAAAAGTTTCAGAAACAGGCAGTCACCATTACATCGATTTCTATTCAGATATAAGTGATAACAGTATTGTTGCTGCTAATATTAACACAGTTTATATTTTCACAAAAAATATTGGTAATACTTTTTGTGAAAACTTTAGTGGATTGACTTTTGATATTATAAAAAATCAGTTTAAAAACAATACCTCACTTCCTAAAGGACATAGGTATACTGATGAAATTAAAAAATTTGCAATAACTCTGCATTTTTACTCACCTAAAGCATAAGATTTTCTACGGCCTATACTCCATTTACCTGCTTCAAGCTCTTTAGTTTTTTTTGAAGATGTTTTAAGTTATATTAATATAAAAGCAGTGACTGATATTAATTATAAAGATTGTGCATTAATTATAGATGCAATGGTAATCAAAACATTAGTTCTAAGCGATAAAAAGGCAGGTCGATTCATAGGCTTTACAGATTATGGAAAAGATATTGTCGCAATTGAACCAGATACACCAGCTACAGAAGCATTGGTATTTATACAGGTAGGATTACAAGGTCATTGGAAAACACCTATTCTCCTTATGCTGTGTAGTAAAATAACAACTGAAAACTTTTCATGTCTTATTAAAAAAGCATTAACAATTTCTTCTGATAAAAAAATTAATGTAGTAAAATTACATTTGATGGTGTAAGTGTTAACTTTAATTCTGTTGCATCACTAGGATGTACATTTCGGAAAAGACTAGAAAAAATTAATGGACAATTTACTTTAAAGACCTAAATGAACACGATGCTGACCATGAAGCTGTTACCGAAGACATGCATTGCACACAACTAATAAAAATGTTAGCAAATGACTTTTTTACAATCAGACTGCAAAGATATGGCCAATTATATACAGAAAAATTGGTCTATATATATATATATATATATATATATATATATATATATATATATATATATATATATATATATATATATATATATATATATACATATATATATATAATGATTGGTCTACGTCAACAATCAAATAAATAAATTTTATTCAAAGGTTTATAGCATAAATATATATATATATATATATATATATATATATATATATATATATATATATATATATATATATATATATATATATATATATATATGTATATATATATATATATATGTATATATATATATATATATATATATATATATATATATATATGTGTGTGTGTGTGTGTGTGTGTGTGTGTGTGTGTGTGTGTGTGTGTGTGTGTGTGTGTGTGTGTGTGTGTGTGTGTGTGTGTGTGTGTGTGTGTGTGTGTGTGTGAAAATATTATAAATAAAAATATTAAATTAAGTTTTATTAACTGTTACTTTTCTTGATTTGTTGTTTATATTGAGAAAGTTGCTTTTCAAAGGAAAGATATATCTTTCCTTTGAAAAGCAAGTTTTTCAATATCTTTGCGCTAAAATCTTTACGCTAATCTTTACGCTAATCTTACACAATTTTAAGCTTCACAAATATGAAGCTTAAAATTGTTTAAAAATGTAATCAATAAAAAATCTATAATTGATTTACCGTCAATTAAATAAATTTAATTCAATGTTATGTTATAATCTAGTACAGTTTTCAACACAAAAAAAGCTCCATAGGTATTCAGGTATATAAAGAATATCGATATTCTTTATATACCTGAAGTAAAGTTTTCAACACAAAAAAAGCTCCATAGGTATTCAGGTATATAAAGAATATCGATATTCTTTATATACCTGAATACCTATGGAGCTTTTTTTGTGTTGAAAACTGTACTAGATTATAACATAACATTGAATTAAATTTATTAAATTGACGGTAAATCAATTATAGATTTTTTATTGATTAATGTGAAGCTTAAAATTGTTTAAAAATGTGTAAGATTAGCGTTTAAAAATGTGTAAGATTAAGATTTGTTTAAAAATGTGTAAAATTAGCTTTTTCTTATACCGACTTACGGCAGTTAGACATTTAGTTATTCCTGAAAATGATTGCGTTAAGGCGAGTTTCCACTCATCCGTTTTTCAACGGGAACGGGATAGGAAGGAAAAAAATAATCACGTGAGCATGCGTAATAAGAGTTTTTATTTGTCCGAAAGAAAACTGCGCATGCTCACGTGATTATTTTTCCCTTTCCCATAGAAAAACGGATGAGTGGAAACTCACCTTATATCCGAAATGTGCGCCATATTTAAAATACGACTTTATAGCAGCTATTGGTATATATTTATTAGCTAATCTTGGCCTTATAAGGCTAATCTTGGCCTTTTAAGGCTTCTATATCAGCTACAAATGCAAGCCGACTAACGAAAAGCCTAAGCAATTTAGGCAAAACGATGGCATACAATGGCCCGTTATATATGCTCAAAAAAGTTATTGGCCCAATAAAGGGCCATCGTACGGTGTTTACAGGGAAACGGTTGTTTACTTTGTAACTTGATAAGAAACTTGTGGAATTTCGTTGGTTAATTTGGGGGTTGCCCTTTTTTCTAGATTGTTATTAATTATCTTTATTAATAAGTATTTTTATAGAATATTATTCTTATTGTTGTTTTATTTATATTATTATTGTTACTATTATTTATTTATTATATTAACATAACTGTTGTAACATTATTGTTATTATTATTGCTGTTGTTATTATTATTTTATTGATTCTGATTATTGTTATTATTCTGTTATTTTTATCATATTTAATTTTTCCATGTATTTACTTGATTTAATATACTAGCAATTAAAGATAAAAATTTTTGACAAGAAAAAATCATTGATTTATAAAAAATTGCGTGTCTTGTTTCTTTTGTTTCTTTTGAAATTTTATTCGTATAGTATAGAAGTTAAAAATAAACTTTCCTTGTTGGGCTGTATTTCTTTTGCTCGCAGTCTAAGATGTACATAAAGTTTAAAGAAATTTAAAGAAAAAAACTTAAAATAAGATTTCATAACGCTAAAAAAGAATGCAAAAAATAAATGGTAATTTTGTAATTTTACATTTTTACCGTATTTAATTTGTTTTTGTTTATGTAAAAAAAAATTACGGATGCTAACGCTATAGCGTTAGCGATCCGTAATTTTTTTTTACATAGCGCTATGATAAAAAGTACTTTGAGATGAAAAGCAATGAGAAAATACGATAAAACACTGATATTATTTTAAGCTTTATTTTATTTTATATAAAATTAAACTATCAATATCCTTTGTTGTTGTTTTTTATATTTTTAAAACTACAATAATTTAATTTTTAATTTTTTTTTTAATTATAAAATAAGTAATAAGTTTAAGGTTTGATAAAATAAAATAGTTTTTCGAATGAATAGCTGAAGTCATTCCATTTATTATATCAATGCAAAAGCTTTGTACAGGCGTCGTCTTAACGAGTAACTCTTCAAAATGTCAACCTCATACTTTTTTGAACAAATAAACCCTAACTCTACTTTTACTCCCACTCAAAACTCTTTTATAAACTATCGTAAAAACAACAAATACCACGACGACTTGAACAGATTTGGTAAAATTCGTCTTATGCGAAACAGGCGAAGTAAATACGATGTATCTCGTATCTTAGAAAAAAGTAATCGCAATAACACTGACGCAAACGTTTTGAACTTTGAAAAAGGTAAACTTTTTAAAATCAGACTTTTAAAGAAGCAATGTAGTGATTTTGTATATCATTACAAACCAAAATTGCATATTAGTAAAACAATTTAATTTTAATAACAAAAAATGTTAAAAAATTTGCTAAAAAAAATTTTTTCTTTCTTTTAAAAAAAATAGACTAAAAAGAAACACTTATTCACAATAATGACATAATTTATGTTTATGCTACTAAATAAAACATATTTTTATAAGTATATATATATATATATATATATATATATATATATATATATATATATATATATATATATATATATATATATATATATATATATATATATATATATATATATATATATATATATACTAAATTTTATATGTACATATTCCAAGTTCCAAGTTCCGTTTCATGTATATATTTGTTGGTTGCTCAACTTTGCCCACACAGTTGCTCAGCGTAGGTCAAAGTAGATCAACCTGGTACTCAAAAAAGCGAAATAATATATAAATTTTATAAATATAATCGTTTTGCAAAATTTTGAATAACTCTTTTTTTCAAAATAATTAGGGACCCTTTAAAAAGTAAAGTTAATTGAGATGTCACTTAAAACACATTATTATATAATAACTATTAATAGTTAATATCTTTGAACTCATTTTCCAAACAAACGAACCACATCAAATCAAAGGGTAGCCCGCATAAAAATACAATTTTTTTTAGTTATACAATTTTGAACTGGTCTAATCTGGAGTTTTCAAATTTGCATTCAGTAATAAGTTTTGTATCGAAAATGCATTTAAAATTGTTTTGAAAGTTTTTATGAACTTTGAGGGATTTTATGTTAGAGAGGTCTTATACCTAAAGGCTCTTATACCTGAGGGATCATCTTAGAAATAAATAAATGAGAGAACTTAACAAATAATTACGTTATTTAATTAAACCTAGAAACTAATGTTGCAAGAGATTTCATCAAATATGAAATAAGAAACTTTAAATACATTGATATCTGGTTAAATTGATTTTTACATTAAAAACTAATTGAAAAAGAAAATGGGATTACTGATGTGTTATTGAGGAAAACAAAAATATTTGAAACGAACTGTGAAATTCAATTTCACTAAATTTGCAAAAAGCTTTTATGCTTCAAAAATATGTGTATTTTCTTTATATATACTTATCTATACTTTTAAAAAGAATTTTTAAAGTATGTATTAGTCAACTTAAAAATTTATAATTAAGAAACTTAGAACATGAAAATATTTTATAAACAAACTTTACTATTAGCTTATTTTTAACTTAAAACAGTGAAAATTGATCAACTAATTTTTAGCCTATTTAAGCAACATATTCCGCAAAGGAACTTACAATTAACTTAGAACAATATATCTTTTATTTGCACTAGTTGCTATAATAATTTTATTTATATATTTGTATATATATAAGATTTATATATTTGCTTATATAAAAGACTAACATGATTATACAGCTGTGGCACATTGGTCAGAGTTTTAGTTCAGAACTAAAAGATTCGAGATTTGATGCTGGCTCTGGCTAAATAAGCGACATTGGTAAGGTTGGAGGCATGAACTTCCTAGTTAAATCCTTTTCTGGGGTGCTTTGTGATAAGACCGTAAGAACGCTTTGGAGCACCTTAATATTCATAATATGAAACATACAAAAAACTTTTGATTAAATACTCTTTTAAGGTTCTTTTTGACCTTAATATCTAAAGAAGCATCCTAATAATTAAAAAAAGTTAATTAGAGTTTATTTTCTTCAATAATGTTGAAAATTTTGATTGTCTCATAGAAAAAAAATTAAAAAGAAAATATAGAGTATATATTAAATATAATTAAAAAAGGTTTACGTTTAACTGTATTTATAATTGATTATTTTTTTAATTAGTCGCGAGATTAAAAATAAAATGCGAGTTTACCTTAGTGTTCTATTATTTATTACCTAAGTCTTATTACTTTACACATAAATGACAAGACCGGTTTGCAGATTTATAAAATACCTTCTCATTATTAAGTATTTACAAAATACTTTCTCATTATTCAAGCAAATAAATGTTTGTATTTTGAATTTCGTTCAATTGTTATATTTATTATAAATTATGACATAATTTTCAAATTAGTAGTTAGGTTGTTACAGTTGTGTTAAATGCGCAAGTTCAAATAAATGCCTCACAAACTTTTCTTTGATATGGATGCAAATAGATTTACCCTAACCCACACACTAAACAATTAAAAGGGTATTCTTATACATTTGCCAAGTCTTTTGATTAATAACATCATAAGAAAATATATTAGTAAACTTTAGCAGTACCAATGCACTTTTATGATTAATGTCGCGTTTGCCGTCGGCTGTTTATTTGTAGTTACTTACATTTAACATTTATCAGTTTTTCGGACTTTTTTTTCTGTATGTTATAGGTTGTTAAAAAAGCTCTTTAAATTTTAATTACCAGTTTACTAGTTGAATTCTTGAATACATTTTTATTCAAAATGGCGCATGCGTTTAAAGAGAGACTTTAGTCGAAAACTTCAGAATAAGTGTATTAAAAACGGTGTGTAACACATAGAAAAAAATTTTTATGTGGAAGAAAAATCACGAGATAATTAGGTTAAATTAGTTTTAAGACTGAATGATGCATAGTTTTTTTGAAACAAGCAACATTTTTCGGTGTGGTGAGGTGTGAGGTGATCTGGGTATACATCAATGTGTTTTGTGCAGTTAAGAATCTAATGCTTATACAATAATATATACAGTAAATTTTTGTTAAATCGAACCTCCAAGGAACCAAGGAAAATGTTTCAATTAAATGAATGCTCGACAAGCGAAGTAAAACAGTTGTTATTGCTTTCAAGAGACTATAGAAAATAGTTTGAGATGACACAAGTTCGAGTTAATCGGTGTTCAACTTACCGGGAATTAACTGTACCTTTAAAATGAAAATTATTTCAAAAGTCTGACTATGTTTCTGGATCCATTTTTCTTGAGTCATGTTGATATGAATTTCTTTAGATGATTATTAAATATGTAATGATATCATGTTTTTAGTTAAAACTAGTAGTTAACGCAGCTTCGCAGTTTTGAAGGATTGCACATTGAACTTTTATTATAAAAATATGTCGTTTTTGTAGGATAATGAATCTCTATTATATAACACAAAAAATTTTGAATGATTTTCAATTAAGCTTTAACTTTAAACTTTTTCTTAAACATAATTTCTGTGACTTTTGTAAGTACTTCGACTTTTAAATTTGATTATTATGAATTTGAATAACAGCATGAATTGGTCACAACTACTCGAACCCTGTGATTGTATTCTTTTTTTTTTTTTAATTTGTTATTATAGGTGCCCCAAGAAGACCTAATGGTCTTGTCACAGAGCACCGCAGAATCGAACCTTGATTATTTCAACTATTAGATTACCTGATTATATTCAACTATGTTACGAGTCATTCTTATAGATATACAAAGTAGGTTGTCGATTCCCAGCGGGCATTTTTTTCAAAAGTTACGTTCTAAATGTATTTTAAATGTCTTTTAAATGTCTTCTAAATATTCTTAAGTAAAGAACGTTTAAAAGACGTTTAAAACACGTTTAAAGGACATTTAGAATGTAACTTTAAAAAAAAAATGCCCGTAGGGTTACACATTCCTATTAAAACATTAAACTAGCAAATGGAATATCAAAAAATATGCAACAAATTATCTAATAATATAAAGAATAAGAAATAGCGATGTGAATTATCATTAATTAATAAAATAAAAAACGTCTTTTCGTATGTTTAATCGAAGCTAAAATCAAACTCGAGTTTCAATTCAATATAAGACAAAAATAGCAATTTAATCATCAACAAAACGGCAATAGCTAATATATTTAATGATCACTTTTAATCAGCCTTCACATGTAATATAAATAATAAGCTTCCTGAATTTGAGGGCCGTTCCTTAAGTCATTAAACAATAACGCAAATCTTCTTTTTTATGAAACCGCAATACTACAGAAACTAGAAAAGTTAAATATTCACAAATCGATCGGATGGCGTAAGTCCATACGTTCTAAAAAACAGTGCAACGTTATTTTGTATTCCACTAAAAATAATTTTCACGAAAAGTTTTAGTTCAAGTTCATTACCAAGGCGATGGAGCAAGGCAAACGTTACGCCACTACACAAAAACGGTAGTAGGCTTACTGCAAGTAATTACAGGTCAATTTTGCTCACATTAATTATAAGTAAATTAATGGAAATAAAGTATAATTTGTGAACTTATGATGAAACATCTAATAACACGTAATCTTATCACGTCGCCACAACATGATTTTGTGCCAAAAAAGAGCTGTACTAACAAAGTCTTGACTCTCTAGCAAATTTATGAAACAAATTTGCTAGAGAGTAAAGCAAGAGTGTCAAGACTTTGTTAGTACAGCTTTAAATAACAAATATCCAGTCAACTTCCTATTTACTAATTTCGCGAAAGCAGTCGACACTGTATCATATGAATACATTATCCATAAAATTAAATTGTACGGTTTTAATAATAAATTTTTTGCATGGGTAAAATCTTTCTTAAGTAACAGGCAACAAAGAGTTGTACTTGGTGAAAACCAGTCTGACTGGAGTCCAATAAGAAGTGGTGTATTAAAAAGATCAGTACTTGGACCGCTCTTATTCACAATTATATATATATATATTCATAAGTTTTTATTCACCTTTCTTGTTAACTTTTCCACGTAATAAAAATATATGCCGATGATTGTAAAACCTTTGTTTGACCGCTTCTTGAATATGCAGCACTCCTTCAAAGAAATACGATATAGCAGCTCGCGGAAAGTTTAAAGAAGAGCAACTTGAACAAGAAGCCTCTCACATTTAAGCTATTAATCACGATTAAAAAGGTTAATATTACAACGCTAGAAATTCGTAGGCTAAGAGGTGACTTAATTGATTGCTTCAAAATTGTCCACGGTTTTATACAAGGTAAGTGGTGTATATCTACGTCAAAAATAATAATAAAACCTGATGAGCTAATGCCTACAGAAAAAATCCCACTCGACTCAAAAAAGAATTAATAAAAGAGTATTGTCTATTAAGAGAAAATTTCATTCTTATTAGAATAGCCACTACATGGAATTGTCTTCCTCCATCTATTGTGCTATCTACATCGTGAAGACATTCAAAAAACGATTAGACGAATATAATGAAAGCGAATATAAAGTCACCGGCTGATATAGATCGTGCATATTCCAAGCTCTCGTTTAACATTATAAACATTTAAATTATTTTAATAGTTATTTTGTAAAATTTCGCCAATAAAAAATTATTATATTATTATATTTAATTTTGAGAATCATAATATAATTTATTCCATAAATTTAGAAAACTCGTTAAAAAAAAAAAAACTATGAAAATTGAACTATAACAATGCTTTGCATTCTTTGAAAATTAGCTAATAGAAAAATTTTGAGCTTCTAAATTAGTGTTTTGAACAAGTAAAGTTTTTTTTGCGTTTAAAACTGTTAAAGTGATATTATGTTTAAACTTTTGATCGAATAATTTAAGTATAATACATACTCAATGACTTCAGTCATATTTTAATAAAAGTTGATATATTTTATTGAATAAAGATAAAAATGTTACTTATACCCTCATTACCCTGCTATACGGGGTAATGTGGGTCTATAGAACACAACTCAAATTAGTAAGCCTTAGGCATCTTTAAAAATTATGCATAAACTTTTTTGATGTAGTTTACTAAAAATGATGTCTAACCTTCAACAAAAAAAATTGTTTTGTTATTATATTTCTTTGCTCAAAATCAAAAATAGGTAAAAATAGGCTCAGATTACCCCACCCTACCCTAATAATGCAAAAAATTAAAAATGTTCTTAGTGTCGCAATATACATTTTTTTTTAAAAGGTTTTTTTAAGGTACTCCCAGAAGTCTTTACAGTCTTATCTCAGAGCACCGCGGACAACCAACGTCGGTTTTGGAGCTAGAGCCGGCGTCGAACCTCAAACCTCTTGGTTCTCACTGCACAATTTCGTTTTATTGTTACCTCTTATTATTTTAAATTTTTTTTAGAAATATTTATTTATATGGGGTTTAGTACGTTTGCAATTTCATAATTGCAAACGTACTAAAGAACAAGCATTGTAAAAGTTTTTTATAATTAAGAATAAAATACTTTAGGATGTTTTGTTACTGAGTTATTTAACATTATAACAAGTATTGAACCGATGGCATTAAAAATGTTAAGATTACTAGTAACTTTTTTGTAATATAAATAATGTGTCCAAGCGAGCCACATTTGACAGTGGCTTGCTTAGACACCTTGTTTGTATTAACTAAACTTTTTAAGTATGATGTAAGTTTCGTTACTTTTCCCCCGCCCCCCGCCCCCACCTTTCTCTTTTACCCCTAAAATAAAAAATGCGTATTTTTCCATCAATTTTTTATGCTATTATTTTATTATTATTATTTGTTCATAACACACACTCCCCCTCCCCATATTCCTTAATGTCAATTATTTTCGAACCTTTTAGCAACCCTACCTCTTCTATTTACTAACATTACTTATAGATGGTCCCTAATTAAAATTTTTTGCATCTTTGTAGTAATGTAGTAGATCAAAATTTGATTAGTATATTTTACAAGGTTTGTGGTAAGTAATTTTGCCTTTTATTGTCTTAATTATTGTACAGTACCTTAATGGTATTGTAATTTACTTTTTGTCGTCATGTATGTATGTAAGTAAGTATGTATGTATTTATGTATGTATGTATATATGTATGTATGTATGTATGTATGTATGTATGTATGTATGTATGTATGTATGTATGTATGTATGTATGTATGTATGTATGTATGTATGTATGTATGTATGTATGTATGTATGTATGTGTGTGTACATTTTGTAGATTCAAAGTCAATATAAAAAGTCAAAATATGTTAGGATTCTGTTGCAGTTGTTGTTCAAATATCAAAAATATTTTGTCATAGAGAAATCTTAGATTTAAAATTGTTATAAAAATTTTATTATTAGAAACAAATCTTTCTCTTCGCCCATCAAAAGATCGAACTATTTTTACAGATGATCAAATGCATATTTTGGAATCTGCTTATAGACTAGACAATCATCCCAATAATAAAAAAAAAGAAATTATAGCTAACTTATGTGGTTTAGAGCTTGAACGAGTAAAAGTATGGTATCAAAATCGTAGAGCAAAAGAAAAAAGAATGAAAGAAGATGAGTTAGCAACTATATCACATAAAACAGAGTAATTTTATTTATTTAATTTGCTTGTTTTATTTTTATATCAGTGACATTAATTTTTGTTGCATCAACCATTTTTCAAATATGTAAACTGAAAATCATATAAAAAAATAATTTTTAATCATATTTAATCAATACTTTCTAATTGCAATAAAAAATTTTTCCTTTTCAGGCACCACTCTTCTTTGTTTCCATTTCCACGAAACTAATTTCTAAGCATTACACACAGTGTAATGCTTAGAGATTAGTTTCGTGGAGAATGCAACCAAAAAGAGTAATTTTAGCTCAAATTTGTCTTATACTTTCAATCTTGCATCATTTGATACAGCATTTACGTCAAAAAAATGTAATCCTGCATTTACAAACAATAATAATACCAGGTTTACCAGTTGCAAAGGCTACTTATAACAATAAAGATAATTTTTACTAGAAAAAAAAAGTTTGACAATTTAAATTGCGCATAAGATAAGAAATTAGTTTACCGAAAGTATTTATAACAAAAGTTAAAAAAAGAATGCTATTATTATAAAAGCAGTTGTTTGTGATAAGTAATAAACTTATGAACAACACCAACCTCCAGAACTGAAGAAAAGCTATCAGCTAGACAACAGTTTATTTTTTTATGGCCAATTTGTTAATGTTTTTGGAATGTTTTTTCCATCAAATATCTAAACCTAGCTCCTTGTTTATTTAAATTTCATTACAGAAAAGATTCTTTTAAATTTGATTCTACGTCAACTTGCAACTCTATGTTAGATCTTGTACATTTAATTTTTTTGCCGTTCATCATTGAAAAAAGTTTAAAATAAGTTGGTTACATGTATCAGTTACTGCATTAACAAAAGATTTATCATTATATGATGCTGTTAGTTAAATTAAGTGAATATAGAATCAGTGAATACTAAGTTAATTTGTTTAAAAGTCTAAAAAACAAATTTGTTTTGTACAAAGTAGAATTTTATTCTACTTTGTACAAAACAAATCAAGTTTGAAAAACAAATGCAGGTAAATTTTACTGTATTTTCAGATACGAAAAAAATTCATTTTAAAATTGCTTTTTCATTGGGGTTTTCAATGTTTAAAAAAACTGTTGCTTATTTCAACTGTAAGCATCATAAAAAGATGAATCTTTTATTAATGCAGTAATTGATACATGTGACCAATTTATTTTAAACCTTTTAATATTTGTTAAGTTCAAGGTTATATATAAAGATTGGAGCCACCGATTTGCACAACCAAACTGCACAAATTGCATAAATGAACTATGGTTGACGGATAGTTAGTTGTAATCAAATTGCACAAATTCAACCAAGATGCACAAGTTCAACTAAGTTTCACAAATTCAACCAAGTTGCACAAATTCAACCAAGTTGCACAAATGAACAATGGTTGACGGATAGTTATTTGTAATCAAGCCTTCAATAATATTAAACATACTCTTAAATTTATAGGTAAAAATAATTAAAGGCAGATGAATTTTAGTTATTTAAATGTTTTCATTTTTAGCTTCAATAAAAAAAAACGGTTCTTTATGTCAGATTCAGATTTTTTGTTGACGACGTAATCATTGAGATAAACTTTTTGTTGATGACACCATCATCAACGATATCGTTTGAAGCATAGTGTTACACGTTATGAAACTATTACATAGCTTTATATATTCATAGTACAGCATGACGCTCATGCTATCCAATATACCATTTTTTCAATATACCATTTTAAACAGTTATTTCAATCCAACTTATCTAAGCTCTTACCGAAGCTTATTTAGTAGCTAAGGAGGCAATACTGTTCCCAATTTAAACATTGTTTTATTTATTTTAGACAATATAAATTTTTAAATGTTTGTCAATATTTTAAAACAATGTCGCACACTTTATAATAAAGTTCCTAGAATTTATCTATTCTTTATTATAGAGTTCCTTTATTATAGAGTTTCTAGTTCCCAGAAAGTATTTGATCAATCATAGTTATGCATCCTTTGAACACCTAAAATTTTGTTTGCTTTAGTGAAGGTTTTTGTTAGAAAATTTTTTAAAATACTGTTAAATATTGTTTTACTGAATTTTATTGAAATATGTCTTTATGTTGTAATATTCTTGTTAAACTAATAACTATTTAAAAGTTCATACAAGTTGTCTTTTAAATATTATTTGATTTATTTTAAAATGTCATAAAAAAAAAAAGAGCTGGAAGAGAGTCTCGAGGTCTAAGGTCATAGCTTTAAAACTTTTTTTCGTGTTTTTACCAATTTTCATCAGACAACTCCATACTGTTTTCCTGAATTTTTGAAGAAACATCAAACCTTAATCAAAAATTTTTACAAGCAACTGGAATATTGCATTTAAAATTTAAAGTTCATTAAAAGCAATAAAAAGCACTTTCTTGATCATCTATGATAGAGAAAACAGTTTTTCTATTGTGTTGGCTACAACATTAAAAATTCGCAACAAGCAGATTGACCCGGCTGTTTAAAGACGTACGTAAGCTAAAAACTAAAATTGTTAAGTATATAATAAAGGAATTGTAAAGCTTTTCTTTATGATAATATATTTCTGATATAGTATGAATGCATTCATGGCCAACTATAATTACACGGCCGGATATCTTGCTTTTTGGAGCGAAAATTAGAAGAGTAACTTTTCAAAACATAACTATATCGTATATCGCATATTTGGCCACACTTACCGCGATTAAAACTATAATCTTTATACGGATTTTTGTTTACAGAAGTTTTTATATTATATAAAATTTGTTTAACAAATATAACTTAAGTCTCAAAAATTAGACGCTTTCCTTTGCCTGATGATAATGTTTCTAAAAACTTGCACCGCTGAAATAAGAGAATATTATATTGTATTTTGTTCATCAATATAAAATTGTAAAAATTAATAAAATATTTAAATTCGTTATGCCTTTATTAACTTAAAGATGAACCTCATATTGTATGCGTATATATACATATACATACACACACACACACACACACACACACACACACATATATATATATATACATATATATATATATATATATATATATATATATATATATATATATATATATGTATATATATATACATATACACACACACATATATATATATATATATATATATATATATATATATATATATGCACATATATATATATATATATATATATATATATATATATATATATATGCACATATATATATATATATATATATATATATATATATATATATGTATATATATATATATATATATATATATATATATATATATATATATATATATATATATATATATATATATATATATATATGCATATATATATATATATATATATATATATATATATATATATATATATATATATATATATATATATATATATATATATATATATATATATACAATTTGTTTATTATCTCCTGGATGAAGTAATTTATAAGATAATTTGAAATCTTTTTTTAAATTTGACTGATGTAATTGGTTTTTATCATATACATCATGAAGTAACTTCCATGATATTTCACCAGCTTGTACATCAATAACAATAAACAATAAATTATTTCGTATGTTTTTGAGAAGATGGACACCGTCAAAAAATAAATATATTATACTATCTTTTTTTGTAGGATGAGTAATACTACTAACATGGTTGGTATTTTTATATTTTTGTATCAAATTTGAAAAGGCAGAAACATAAGTAGAATGATTATCAGAAATTACACCACGAACATGAAAACTATTCTCTTGCATAGATGTAATGCACTCATCAACATGGTCAGCCATTTACCCTCAATTTTTACTTCTGGTATAGTTTTTATAACAAAATTGAACCTTTTTTTCAAAGTAGCAATCATGAAGGTCATTACGCTTTTATATAAAATTCCTTTATTATCTACTCCTATCATTCGACCACCTTGACATTGCGCTTCTTTCTGCAAATATATTTCATCCTTCAGTAGCACAAAATCTTTATCAATTTTATTTTTGTTGAATAAACATTTTATAGAAAAATAATCTTATTAGAACAGTTTCCTCTACCATCATTTAGTCTTTTGAAAAAAATTAATTCAAGTGGGGTAGATAAATTAAAGTTTCTACCCCACTTTAATTAATTTTTTCTAAAGACTAAATGATGGTAGAATAAACTGTTCTATAAGATTTTATAATCCTGCGCTGATATAGAAAAATAAGGGAGTATTGAAAAAGATTTGGTGAACACTTTGACCGATCAATTGGTTTTTTGTATTTTATTTCATTGAGTTATTAAATCAATTGACAAACTATTTTCTTCTACGTAGTATTTTATATAGGCTTTAAAATTCTCCAATACACTTTTTCTTCCTATACACAGCCATTATTTCGAAACCATGGAGGCAATGGAACATAAGATGATTTAAAAAAACAATGAAATATGCATAAATTCATCAACTATAATTGTTTCTGTAACTTCAAAAATATCTAAGTGTTGATTAATTTCAAACTTAAAAAATATGTATTTGCCTTCAAGGTTGGAAAGAAAGCCTTCAAGGCTGGAAATATTTAAATCATTTAAACAATGAGTTTTATCTTTTTCTATAAATATACTGGATTCATCCTGACTATTTAATTGATGACGGACAGAGAGTGGCTTTGTAGTTTTCAATGTAGTTGGATATTTGATGGTGGCATTTTTTCAGTTAAGCAATAAATAGTCGGAACAGGATTTAAATCCCAAACTAATTTTACTCTTTTGCTAATATTTAAATATTTTTCTTCAAAATGTTTACCACAAATAACCGAATTTATACTGTGTTTTCATATCTTTTGATTGATAAATGATTGATAAATAGTCTAGTAAATAGAGACCTTATAATTTGTCAATTGGAAACAAGTAGTGCAGAAGCAAATTTTAGCCTAAAAGTCTCTACTACCCTTCAACTGTTGAAATCCAAAATCCCACCTTTAAGTTTATGTTTATCAAATATAAATGAAAGTTAACAAATATATAAATTTTTAAGAAAAATTAATATCAGGGGGGTCAAAAAAAAATTAAAATGGTGGCTTCTTAGCCAATTTTGTCTAAATTAGGCCTTTTATAAGTTGTATGGCTATTATCTGAATAAATTTTTTCTGATTGTTCATGACTAAAAGAAAATTGAGCTTTAAGGTTGAAATTTAATACTGTTATTTATTTTCATGGAGTATAAGTAGTTAAAAATGATGTATTTTAAGCCAATTTTGCCTAAATTAGGCTTTTTACATACTGTAAAATGTTCTTAATGACTGTTATTAGTCTATCTTATTCTGATTTTTGATAAATAAAAAAAAAGTGAACCTAAACAATCAAATTTAGAACTGTTGTGTATTTTCAGGGAGTAATAATATTTAAAATTGGTGGATTTTTGGCCAATTTTACCCAAATAATGCAATTTTTTGGGTTTCTTTTTCTCTTAAGAAGTCAATGCATTGTATTTCTTGATAGATTTAACATGTTGTGACACTTTTGTGCTGAATTTATTTTATTTTGTATGAGAATTTAAAATAAACTGTGATTTATTATTTTCACAATTTACTATATTCTTTTGTTTTTATTTTTGCTTATGTAAAACAAATTATAGAGTGCATTATTTGTAAAGAACCAAAAAAAGAGAATTAGATTCAAGTGACAGAAAGAGGACTTAGTGGATTGTTACAATTCAGCTAAGTTCAAAATGAAGATTTGTTACACAGAGAGTAATGTTTAGCGAAATCGAGTAAAACTATAGTGTTTGTCCACAAAAGCCGTAGAAAATTTTTTAAAAACAAGCGGTGTATTGCAGTTCAAGAACCAAGAAAAAAAAACTCGAAAATATATTGACACCTTTGCTTGGAAGATAATCTATTTTTATTGTGCTAAACAATTTATCCAGATTTAAAAAAATCTGGATACATTATTTAGCATAATAAAAATAGAAAATCGAAAAGTAGCTTTTGTTTAATATCTAATGTTGATACCATATGCCAAATCGAACATATTCGCATATGGTATCAACATTAGATATTAAACTAAGACTATTCTGCATTTGTACGTTAAAACTGGAGAAAATGCAAATGACTCATCGGCTCTTTATATTCAAGCTCGATTACTAAATTGCATTGATCTTGTTGCTGCGCAAGCTAGATATCATCAGAGCTGTAGTTTAAATTTCAAACTAAAAAAGAATCAGAAAAAGAATCACCAAAATTTACTAAAATAGGAAGGCTGCAAAATAAAAATATGATGAATGCATTTAACCAAGCATGTGAATGGCTCGAAGCAACTGCAGAAATTATAACGCTAAGCCAGATTCGTGACAAATTAAGAAAAACTAATGGCCGAAGATGAAGATGTGTATGATAAATGCTAATTAAAAAGGTTTTTAAGAGATAAATTTGGATCTCATATGTTATTTTTGGTCAATTTAAAAAGCGTTTGCAACATAATATGCTTTAAAGATATAGCAAATTTTATTATAAACAAAAATTTCAAAGAAATAGAAAAAGATATCGAATATGAAAAAACTTGAATTATAAAAGCGGCAGCTAATTTAATAAAAACTGATATCCGAAAAAAAGGTATACAGCTGACTACTTCCCAATAAGTGATAAAATTTAAGGTGATTGGATTCCAGAAAGTTTAAAATTGTTTCTTGAAGAAATCACAAACTTAAGAGTTAAAAAAGAAAGTATTGGGCTTGGTATTATTAAAGTTTTTGCTGTTAAGAAAATACCTGCAATAATATTTGCACTTGCAGTTGAAGTAGATCATCTATATGGTTCTAGGTGGTAAAATGAGGAATTGTTTAAATTAGGGTTTGGAATATTTTGCAGTGAGATTACAAGATTTAAACATCACTGTCACAACCAGTAGATCAACAGGAATTTAGTTCTGAGGACGCGTTTACTCATCTTATAGCGAACAATGTTGATCATAATGTTTGCACATTAGACGGGCTTAGGACATTCCATGGGATGGGTATAATCGCATCTACCATATTTAGGAAAGATCATCCATTTAAACAAATAAAATTACATAGACCCAGTAGACGTCTTTTGAAAGACGAAGTGAAGAGAAATAGAAGTAAAGTACCGATTTCCGATTACACACATTCAAAACCTAGATTGTATAAAATAATTATCTTTAAACCAAGAGTTGAGCTATTGTTTTCATATGTCTTACCTTTAAATCTGTCAACGGATAGCATCTGGAAAGCTGCAGGGTTGTTTTCAAAAAAGAAATACCAAGACAAAGTTGGTTGGGTTACATGTTAGACATGTTAACAATTATTAATCTCAATTCTTCAGGTTTAACATGTATTTATTCTACTTTGGTATTCGTCATCAATCAATCAAAGATACTGAATGTGGAAACACCTTCAGTATAACCACTTTTTTTGCTCTAAAAAGCAAGATATCCGGTCGTGTAATTATACTAGGCCACAGCGCATTTGCCTCTATTGATATATTTAAGAATATATAATACATTTTCAACAACTTAAGATGCTAGAACTTGTAAATTTTGCTTAGATCTCTGGTTAAACCTGGATTTTTTTTTATCTTTGTTAAACTGTAAAGTTATTCGGGGTTTTTTAATTATTTTTTTAACTGTTTCAACTGCTTTAAAGAAAAAGTCAAAAATCACACATCATTTAATCTTTTTTTTTAAGTATTTAAGGTTGCGAATAAATGGAACATTCTCTTGTTTATTGAGTTATTAAAGTATATTTAGAAATTATTTTAACCATAAATCTTAGTTTAGGTTGCCCACAAGTGCATTAAATGTTTGCTTGACGGAAATTCAAAAATGTTTAGCTAGCGTTTACGAATCAACTAATACAATGGAGGATCAAATAGTAAAAAATCTTTTGAAGGAATCAAATTTGACTGAACAAGAAATAAAAATTGAAAATGAAGATATAAGTACAGAAATGGAAGAGCTTAACCTTGTAAAAGATCTTCTTGGGCAAGCACCTTCAAATAATGAAGAGACAGACACTCTGCCTCGTATTGAATCGTTTTTTTCACAGAGAGACGCATTGCAAATTTTTTCTCGTGATAGTGCAGTATTTGAACAATACAAAATTGATTCAGAAATTAGAGCACCAGCTTTTCCGCAGTCTTTTCAATTTTCATATAGAACCTACATAGATGACAATTTACAAGTTCCAAATCGTTTGTGCCATGAAATATTTGAGAATAATATTAGCGAAGATTTCAAAGAAAAAAACTGTATTGGATCTCAACAATACTTCCATCAAGTTTTGTATCCATGTCAGAATATTTGTGATATAAAAAACCAAAAGCAATAGGTTTGCTGAAAAAAAAGACAATACTTATTAAAAACATTTTTTTACAACATTTTGATTTTAATTTTTTATATTTTTAAAAACTACTGAACTTTTTGCATGTAATTTATATAGAAAATTTATATAGCAATTTTTATATTCGTTTACAACATTTAATACTTGTATTTAAAAAAATATTAATATTCATTGCTTATGGTTGTCATGCCATCAAATTAAAAGACTACTTTAATACAATTAAAATATATATCCCTTGCTATTTATAATATATGTTTTTTTTTTTTTTTTTTTTTTTTTTTTAATTAGGTTTTATACAAAAATTGTGAAATTTATTTTCACAACTTTGCAGATCCTATTCGCAGAACCTAGACAGCTTTAGTTACCTCAACAACAAAAAAAAAAGAATGTGGTCTATTTATCAGTTATCGCTAATCTTCATCTACAAGGGTTAACTCTTGATCTGCTTTTGTTCTTAATTTATGTAAATGCCTTATGGTAAGCATCAGCAAAGCTTGACGCAATATTATGTTTTTGACGAGACAAATGTCAAAAATTTATTACTGAATGACATTATGGCATCTTAAAAGAGTTTACTAGTAAACGATGACTTATAAAAAACAAGACAAGAAAGTTATATTTTTATTACAAAAGTGGCGCTAGACTTTGTGAATAGTTCAAACGTCTGTTAATGGTAACCACCATTTTCAAACCATATCAGATGTTACCAAGTCTTATGAACGATTATTTAAAAAAAAACTAAATTTGAAAGGTTATCAAGCTAAAAAAATCATGAACAAACAAAAAATCTATAACAAATCAACTTAAGAACAATAACAAATCAACTTAAAAAGTTCAAGAGAAAACAGATAGTTTAGTTCGTATTGATATAGTAGTACATGTAAAAACTATTTTATCTTTTATTTTATAAATTTTGTTTCTACTTCAAAGTTCGTATCGTATACATAGCTGAAATCATCGGCTTTAAAATTACTGTGTAACAAAAAAAAAAATGGAGTTAATTTTAAATTAATTAAATAAATTTAAAAATCACTTAAACACATTTTTAACTAAAGTCAATAAAGAACGGAAGCATGTTAACGTTGTCGGCAATATAAATTTGTACTTGCTAAGACAAGCATCGAATAAAGTTAAACATTTTATAGGTAAACTGTTTCAACACAATTTTCTTTCAACAATAAATAAGCCAACCAGAATTACTAAGAGTTCTTATACTTTATTAGATAATATAATTTCTAAGAATTTTTATAACAACCAAATCTTCACAGGTATAACCAAAACCCGGTGGGAAATGAGCTAGCGACTAGCTAGCTTTATAGCGATTTTTAAGCGATTTTTTTTTCTTATTTTATTTTTTCCTGATGTCTTTAAAAACTCGATTTTTAGTGTTGAGTCTATTATAATTATGAGAATAATTGAACTTTAAAAATTGCGATTTTGTAGCAATGTGTCCGTAGCTACATATTGTAGCTTTGTAGTAAGCTACAAAATATCTGTAAATCTATAGCTGGTTGATAGCTACATATCAACATTTTTCAGACAGCGATTTCATTACGATATGACGCTAGCTACGATAGCCAGTGGGTCTTTAACTTATTAAGCTAGCTGTCCTCGTAGCTAAATTGCTGTCTTTATCTTTACAAATACTAGGTTGGTTGAAAAGTTCGCGGAGCGGAAATGAAAAAACAATTTTATGATTCAAAAAATGACTTTATTCTTCAGTATATTCTCCCTTAAGAGCAATACACTTTTTCCAACGATTCTCCAATTCATGTATCCCATCTCTGAAGTGCGATTCCGGAAGGCCTTCAAAATACCCATTTACGGCTGCAATGACTTCTTCATGTGATGAGAAACGCTTTCCACGTAGAAATTTTTTGAGATGTGGAAAGAGGTGGAAGTCGGACGGAGCCAGATCTGGTGAATAGGGTGGATGTTCCAAGCGTTCGTACTTTAATTCGACCAATTTCGCCTTTGCAACATCGCTGATATGAGCAGGTGCGTTGTCCTGGTGATAAATGATTTTTTTATGCAGCAAACCAGGTCTTTTCTCACGAATTTTTTTATCCAACTGGTCCAAAAGATTTTTATAATATTCACCTGTTATCGTTTTACCGGTTTGAAGGTAATCTATTAATAAAATTCCTTTCGCATCCCAAAAAACTGATGCCATAACCTTCTTTGACGATTTTGACGCCTTCACTTGCTTCGGAGCTGAACAACCGGGTTCTGTCTACTCTGCAGTTTGTTGTCGCAGCTTCGGATCATAGTGGTAAACCCAAGTCTCATCCATGGTTACGAATCGACGCACAAAATCTGTTTTATTCTTTTGAAAACGGGCCAAATGTTCTTGAGAAAGTTTTACTCGAGTGCGTTTCTGATCCAGAGTTAGCGAATGCGGCACCCATCTTGCCAACAGCTTTCTCAGACGTAATTCATCGTGCAAGATGTGTAATACCCGTTCATCTGAGATGCCCACAGCCTCAGCAGTTTCACGTTTGGTCAATCGTCTATCATCCATAACCATGTCATGCACAGCATTAATCGTTTCTTCAGTAGTAGCACTTTTTGGACGTCCAGAGCGAGGGTCAACTTCAAGGCTTGAACGCCCACGTTGAAACTCCGCAGCCCATTTGCATACTGTTGTTTTTGAAGGAGCATCATCACCCAACACATTTACCATTTCATTATGAATTTCCATGGGCTTTAAACCTTTTTTCTAAAAGAATTTTATTACAGCACGATGTTCAATATTTTCCATTTTAAAAAATACTATGACACGTCTAATTTCAATAGCTTGTAAACAAAGACTGAAATGACATATCGACTTGAAATTTTTTATGCGTTCATACGAAGAATGAATACGTTTAATACAGTTATAAATTTGTTTCTACTACTGCAACATAGGTGCCGCTCCGCGAACTTTTCAACCAACCTAGTATTGATACCTTTTCGTTAACTTAAAAAAACTATCGATCCTCGTGGCCATATCGCTGTCTTTATCGTTACGATTGTAGCTAGCTATTCGCTAGCCGATTTCCCATCGAGAACAGACTTATCAGATCATTTTTCTACTTTTTTAATAACGTTTTTAAAATATAAAGTTGATTGGGATCGAATGAGGTATATGAGGAATGAGAAAAATACCTATGAACTAATGGTTAAATTCTTTTGTGAGCGATATTAAAAAAGCAATTCCTAAGAAAAAAACTTTTTATAAATTTGGCGATAAGATTATTTTTCTTAATTTCGCCATGTGCATATTTTACAAATACAAGAGTTGTAGTTATTTTAAACGGCAAATTTATAATAATAAAAAATATAAATAAATACCAAGTTACATCAAGAATCTAAAGGATTATTAAAGTTCTAAAAGAAACAAAAAATGTATGAAAAGTTCTTGAAAAAAAAACTTATAAAAATGAAACAAACTGCAAACTTAAGAAAAATATATTTGAAAAAACTAAACAACAATCAAAAAAAAATTATTATTTCAAAGTTGTTAGAAAAAATTAACGGAAATGCCAAAAAATCCTGATGCGTAATTAAAGTAATTATTGGCAAACAAATAACAGAATAAGTATTCAGCCAAAAAAACTATTAGTTTATGATAAAATAATGTATGACAAGCCAATAATAGATGAAAATCCAGACATTTTCTTTCTTAATTTTGATCCAAACTTAGCTGAAAAAATTCTATCAAGTTTTTTATCGTATAATTCTTATTTAAAAACAAGTGATAAGGTCATGAACTCATCTACACTGAATATTAATGAGAGATCTGCTTTCGATAATCTTAAAAACAACACAAGCGTAGGTTTTGATAATATTAGCATGTTGTAAAATCAGTTTTTCAAATTATAGAAACCTCTTTACATCAAATATTTAATCTTTTTCTTCAATCTGGTACAGTTCCAAAAAAAAAAAAAAGTTGCACGAGTCTCGCCATTGTACGAGTCATCACCACGACACCATCACTTTTTAAGTCATCACTATGACACGCGTTCTTCAAATTACAGACCAATACCAGTCTTAACGTGCTTTTCCAAATTACTTGAATGTATAATGTATAATAGATTAAACAGCTACTTAACAGTAAATAACATGTTGTTCAACAAGCAGTTCGGCTTTCATAAAAATCATTCAACTGATCACGCTTTGACCGAGCTAGCAACTCATGCAACCAATGCCTTTAATAATGACTATTTTACTTTAGGAGCCTTCGTTAATCTGTCTATAGCCTTCGACACAGTCAACCATGTCATTTTTAAAAAAAACAAAAACTTGAACGTTATGGAATAAAAAACAATAATTTACTATGGTTTAAAGAATACTTATCAAACAGACAGCAATACATTTAATATTAAAATTTTAAAACGACAAAAAGTATAATAAAATGTGGATTTCCTCAAGAGTTAATCTTAGGACCACTTCTGTTTTCTCTTTGTATAAATGATCTATCTATTACTTCGAACATATTAAATTTTATTTTGTTTGTGGATGACGCTAATCTGTTTTATTCTCATAGGGATATTAAAACCCTCTTTAATGTAGTTAATGAAGAAGTAAACGAATGGTTTATTTATAATAAGCTCTTACTTAACGCTAACAAAACTAAGTTTATTCTATTCAACAAACCAACCATAGTAAGAAACCTTCTTTTAAAATTACCCAACCTTAATGATATAAATATTACCAGACAATCATCAGTAATTTTTTTAGGTGTTATTTTAGGCAAAAATTTAGCACGGAGGAATCATACAAACACTCTTAAAAGAAAACTTTTAATAAACATTTTAATGGTGTATAAAGTAAAACCATTTTTAGATATAAGATCTTTAAAAAGTTCATATTTTTCTTTTATGCATAGCTATTTAAGTTACGGCAATACTGTATGGGCAAGCATCAGCTAAAAAAAAATTATTCACAACAAAAATATGTTTGTAGAATTGTATTTGGAGAAACAAAAACTGTGCCTTGTGAGCCACTTCAACGTAAACTCAAATCATACAGTTTATCCATAAAATAAATAATGGATTGTCTCCAACGATATTTTATCCTTATTTTAGAAAAGTAAGCTATAAATATCCCACCAAGTTTTCAGAAAATAATTTTGTTAATCAAAAAAAAAAAATTTAATTGTAAAGTCTATTATATAATTTTAATAATAAACAAAGGGTCGTCTATAAAGGACGTCATTAAGAATTTAAATACTATCTAGAAGTAGAAGTTTATTCGCTCCCTTCCGCGGAGACTTTTATTGAACATAAGCCGCTATAATACTTTAAAAGTCTCTGCGCACGAGAGCCAATATTCTCTGACTTCTTGCCATTAATTAAACTTAGCGTGACGTCCTTTATAGATGACCCCTTAAGGATCTTTATAAAAATCTTTTTGTTACAATAACAATAAAAATCTTTTTATAACAAAAAATAGTTGTAATAATTATAATAATATAAAGATATACCCATTTGACAAAGTTCTAGTACAAATTAATTATGATAGTGCGTTATTATAAATACACTTTGGAGGCAAAACAAAAAAACTAAACCATTATTTAACCATACAAATAATTCGCTAAGATCAAAATACACTGAGAAAAATTAATAAATGTTTATATATAATTAAAAAAAAATTAAAATAGTTATAACAAAAAATTGTTGTTTGTTTTTTCGGTAAAAAAATTTAAAAATAAAAATCCGATTGATGCTTTACCACTTCGTTTGCACAGTTAGACCAGAAAGAAATTCATTAATTTTTTTTATTTAGGGAAGGGAGGGGAGGGGGTTTTGCGGGTGGGGGGTTTATGGCTCAGCTACAAAATATATTTCAACAAAAAAGAACAGCTACATATAAAATTTTGAAATATTTAACTGATATGGTACAATCTGTTTAAATACATATAAATATAAATATAAAATACAAAAAAAAAAAATATATGTATTTAAAAAAATATATGCATTTAAAAAAATCTCAATAGTTTTATAAACATAGCATATGGAATCTTAATAAAGATGAGGTTCAAGTGTCTTAAGATTTTGTTAATTTATATTCTTCAGTCTCAGAAAAAGAAGAAATTATTGTGCTTATTGAAGTATTAACGACACTTTATTATTATTAAATTATTGTGCTTATTGAAGATATTCACGACACTTTAAATATTTCAAACACTCATTTATTGTATTGTATAGAAGATAGTGAAACTTTTTGACAAAAGCAACAAATGGATTTGAGGCTGATTTTGTTAAAAAATTTGAAATTGAAAAAAGCACTCTTGCTGTAGTGTTTTGAGTTCCGGCTTTAGAACTGAAGGTCAGTGATTTGAACATGACTCTGACCAAATATGCAACATTGGTAAGGAAGGAACTTGTGAACTTTCTTGTTAAATGCAATTTCGCAGTGCTTTGATAAAACCGTATAGAACTGAGCAACTCAAAAAAAAAACATCATCTTTTTTTTTTGACTCTTTTTTGACTCTTTTTTTTTTTTTTCTTTTTCTAAAATTATAAAACTTTTAAAAAATTAAGAGGTTCTAAACTTTTAATAAAAGTATTATATGAGCGCGAAAATATATATTTAAGATATGAAATATTTTCAAATAAGTTGTTCAGACGTTGGTCAGTGAAGAAGAAATTAGCTTATCTTACTTACTTACATGATGTTCATAAAGATGGTATTTAAGTGGTGGAATTGTGTTGATAGTTTTCCCAGCCAATTTTGTATCAAACAGTTTTAGATCATTTTCTGAGAGTGACCTAAAATTGGAGGAATTTGAAGAAGCAAAAAAATCAATCAGAAAGAACAAAGCTCCTGGGCATCGATGACATTTCCAGCAATGTAGTATATGATATTTTATCCATTGTAGCAGATCCTTTATTTAATGTTTTCAAGTCATCAATTAGAACTGGAGTTGTTCCGAACAAATTAAAAATTGCGAAGATTTTACCTGTATTTAAAACTGGAGACACGGCATTGCTAACCAATTATAGACCTATCTCAATTTTTCCAGTGTTTTCCAAACTCCTGGAACGAATAATGTACAACCGACTTTATAAATATTTAGCAGACAATAAAATTCTAAGTGAATGTCAATACGGCTTTCAAACTAATCATTCTACGGAACATGCAACCTTAGACCTAATGGACAACATTAGCTCGTCATTTGATAGAGGAAAATTTGTATTGGGAGTTTTTATCGATTTTACAAAAGCTTTCGATACTGTCAACCATAAAATTCTCCTCGAAAAAATGAGAAAATACGGTATAAAAAATCAAACTAATAAATGGTTCACTAATTATTTAAATAACAGGCAACAATGTGTTATTATAGACGGTATCACTAATACGGAGTTGTTAAAAATCAAATGCGGTGTCCCCCAGGGATCTATTCTTGCACCTTTATTATTCCTTATCTACATTAACAATCTTCCTAAAGCCTCTACAAATCTCGATTGTATAATGTTTGCAGATGATACCAATCTGTTCTATTCATCTACCTCTATCAATGACCTCTTTGATAAAGTCAACTTTGAACTTCAAAATCTTAAAACATGGTTCAGTGCTAACAATTTATCATTAAACGCGCAAAAAACTAAATATATTTTATTTCACTCAAAGAAACAGAAGAACAAACTACCATCAATTCTACCGACACTAAGTATTGACTACAAAAAAATTGAAAGAACCCAAACAATTAAACTTCTTGGTGTGATTATTGACGAAAATGTTTTATGGACAGCTCATATAAATGCCATCAACACTAAAATATCTAAAAGTATTGGTATACTTTTTAAAGCTAGACCATTTTTATCGCAAAAAAACCTAAAACTTCTTTACTTTTCCTTTATACATAGTTATCTCACATATGCCAACATAGCTTGGGGAAGCACACACAAGACAAAATTAATATATCTTTATTGACGACAAAAACATGCTTCTAGAATAATAAATCATAAAAACAAACTGACCCACGCTAAACCCCTATTAAAAGAAATAAAAGCTTTAAACATTTACCAAATTAATATCTACGCTAACATTTTGTTCATGCTTAAATACAAACTAGGATTAGTTCCAAACCGATTCACAGGAAACTTCTTTCAATCTAATATCAACAAATTTAACACAAGAGCAACTGGTAACTTTATTGTACCCCTGAAAAAAAAAAAAAGTTCTCAATTTTCTATTTCTTATCGTGGCCCATATTTATTCAACAAATTAATTCCGAATTATACCTCGATTTCTCTCCCAGACAATATAACTTCTTTCAAGTCGAAACTCAAAAATCATGTTCTTAATATGGATAATTACCTAGAAATGTTTTAGTTCTGATGGTAAATCAAAATTTACGCTCAAATTAAAATAATCAGCAATCAAATGCATATGGAAAATGTAAATTTTTGTTTAACGAATAAAGCTAGTATTATTATTATAAACCTCAACACTAACACAAAACATAGTTCAATTAAAAAGAAAAGAAAAAAAAGTTTGCAATAATAACATGTAAAACATTTCTTTAATGAGAATCACATTGTTTATATGTGTGCTTTACGCAATACCTCAAGGTTCTCGATGATAAGACTAATCTCAGTCTTCTACGAGTTCCCTACAACAACAAAACCCTTCTTATCAAGTCATAGCATACCTAATTATTGCTTCCTATACCTAACGGTATTTTGTAAAATGTATTTTTTATTTTTTTTGTTTAGGAAGTACAGTTTCTTTATAATATTGCAGTGAAAAAAATTTGTAATTAATATGTAGTTGTGAAAATTTAAAGAAAAAAAAAAAAAAAAAAAATTGGTGACATTTTTCTAATATTGCATCAGCATATAAGGTTTGTTTTTAAATCGATGCATTCTGAATTTATTTGTGATCCAAATGTCTTTGAAACTACTTTCCTATTTAATGACCCGTCGCAATAGCAACGCAAGCATTTCACCGCGACTTTGTATTTTAAAAAAACTTATAGGCATTGCTTATTTATTGTTTGCATTAAATCCTAAGTGAAGATAAAGAAATAAGTTTCTTGCATATAGTCCAAGGACAATGTTGATGATCCTAAGGTCAGAGGCCAGGTTAAACTTTAAGTTACAGTTATGCCAGTTACAAAAACTGGCATAACTGCGAATCGGCATAAGTGCGCCCAAAAACTTGCAAACATTGGCATAAGTACGAATTGGCATAAGTGCGAATTACTAATTTGCACTTACGCCAATATTTGAATTTTTATTCGACGCACTTATGCCAGTTTTTGTAACTGATTCGCACTTTTGCCAATGTTTGCAAATTTGTTCGATAAATAAAAAAATAGAAGTAGGATAGCTACTTGCTCTTTGACGCGGCGATTTTCGCTGGACTTAAAGAGCTATTTTTATTTTTGTTTAAATAATGATTCTGCGAGGGAAAACTTTTGATCTTTTGTGTTAAATTAGCGTTGTGGACAATCCCATAATAGAATAGTTTGTAAACTATGCATTTCAATAATTAATTCAAATCCCTCCAAAAAAGACATGGGTGATTATGAATAATCCTGACGACACAAATTTCTGTGCAGCCAAAAATAAACTTTTAGTGTTAAAAAATTAATTTTTACATTTTATAAGATCAACTAACTCAAGTTTTGTCACTTTGTGACTGATAATCCTTCGGTTTTTGCAAACAAAGGTTATGCAAAAAGGTCAATTTTAAACAAGCACGCTTAAAGATTTTTTAAATTCGTTAATTTTAAAGGATAAACATTACTTAAATAGAATGAGGGGTAAGAAAAGAAGAGGGGAAAAAGGGGAAAGGGGGAAAAGGATGAGGAAAACATGTGACACAATACAATTTACACATTTAGCTCTATTTGAACCATTTATTATCTAACCTATATTTGACTAGCATTTTTACGATTTATAATGCTGAAGGGTGCGAGCTGATGGATCAGTTGCATTAGATATCCACTTTGGCATCCAAAAGTATGGTGTTAAATGAGATTGACCCGGAAATCGAGCTGTAAATAACTTTCTATATAATAAAGCCTCACAGGTTTTTGGTGTATTTTCTGAGTACACTAAAGAAGCGTTTTGTAACTCAACTTCGCTAACCTGAGATTTTGCATAATTCTCAAGCTTTGCATACCAAGGTTCTTCTTTTGTTGAAACGCCATCACTAAATGCTTCTTTGGGACGCCATAATACTTCGTCAGGCAATAAATCGGTAAGATAACCGTCAAAGGCCGAACGTAGCAAATACTTCTCTATTCCATTAAATGGCTGTACCATTTCTTTAGGAAGGGACAAAATATATGAAGTAAATGTTTTATCTAAGAACGGGACTCTTAACTCTAAACCATGCGCAGAAACTGAACGATCAGCGCGTAAATTATCGTATAAATACAAATCACGCAACAAACGTTTAGATTCTTCGTGGGCTTCGTCTGCTGAAGGAGATTTATGAAAATATATATAACCTTGAGTAAGTTCATCAGATCCTTCTCCTGAGAAAACAACAACTGTGTCAGTATTTTTAGAAATGTATTGTCCGAGTAAATACATAGGAATCGAGGCTCGATTGGTCGTAATATCGTAACTTTCGAGTGTATAATTTACTTTTTCAATAACATGGAAAGCTTCTTCTGGAGTGAATAGAACTTCGTGGTGTTCTGTTCCAAGCATTGTGGCAACCTTTCTTGCAGCTATTAGATCGGGAGAATTGGGTAAACCTATAGAAAAGGTCTGCAACGGATAAGATAACCCTTCCTCACGAAAAAGCTTAACAACCAGAGCAGCAACCAGACTAGAGTCTAGACCACCAGATAATAAACAGCCAATTCTTCGCTCTGACATAAGTCTTTTTTTTACAGACTGTACAAAGAGGTTTCTAATATTTTCTTTGATATCCTCCGTTAATATAACACCTGTATCAAATGTTGGAGGAACATCTACATCTGTGAAGCGCTTTTCAATAAGTTTTTTAACTTTTCCTGTTTCATGAGACACTTCAAACGTGGCATAGGTGCCAGGAAGAAAAGGCATTACTTTCTCAGCATTTTCATTATTTGAAGTAAGGCCAACCAAACCTTTTACTTCCGATGACAAGCCAAATTCTCCGGAATTCAATTGCAAAGTAAAAAGTGGACGAACACCAAAAGTATCACGAGCAATATGAAATTGACCAGCTTTAGAATCAAAAATAAAAATGGCAAAATCACCATCTAAGCTTTGCACTGTTTTCTCTATTCCAAACATATTGTACATATGAAGAATAACCTCGCCGTCCATCCTAAATAGTTAATTAGTACATCATGAATGAGTAACTAAAAACAAACTATTAAACTATTATAAAATAGAATAAAAAACAATTAAAAATGATTTTAGGTAAACAAAGAAATAAATAATAAAGACTGTTACCCTGAGGAAAGCTTGAACCCATACTTATCGACTAGCTTCTTATAGTTAAAAATTTCCCCATTGTACATAAGATGCAGATGAGGCAACTCGTACAAACGCATTGGTTGTTGACCAGTTAAATCATCCATGATTGATAAACGATGAAATGCAAGAACTGTATGCTGAAAATGGGGCAAGGATTCAATACGAAAAAAATCTGGACCTCGATGTGCCAACTCTAAAGCATGATGAAGCTCTGAACATGCACTATGGTCATAACCAAACAAAGCCCAGATGCCACACATTTTCTAGTATATGAATCTAGGTAGAAATAAGTAAACCATTTAAATTTCGTCTTTTGTTAACCCCACCTCTTATATTAACTTGCCGCCACAGAAAAACTACATATTCAAGCAGTAAAAATTAATCCTAAAAATATATATATATCCTATAACCTAAAAAAAAGTTTAACTACATAATTGTAGGGTTTTTTTTATAACTATTTTATACAATTTTAATTCGTCGTTCTTATGTCGTTTTATTATACTTATATAGAAATTAACTTCTATATTAGGATAAAAAGATTTAAACATTTTTTTGATTTTAAATTCTTTTAAGACAGAATTGTTGCCAATTGGTATAGACATGAAAAAAAAAACTTTAACTGACTGGTATCCTCAGAGTTACAAATGAAATTTTAAAAGGTTTTCCCCTGAGTATTGTCTTGTAAGGAACAACATTACCTTCTTAAAAATACAATACCCTCATTTTGTGGTGGGTTGAAATTTGTCATGGTTATTTTATATGAACATTAAAAGTTTACTAGATGAATTTAAAACCAATTTATAAATTTATATTTCATATAAGATAACAAAGTTGTATATTTTATCAACTCACTGTCCTCATAGTTTTTGGTCAAAAATTTTAATTATGTTTCTATTCATACACATAAACATACTACATATAAAGTTTGCAAATTGCCTAACAGACAACTTGCAACTTTAAATATATATAAATTATATATATATATATATATATATATATATATATATATATATATATATATACATATATATTTATATATATATGTATATATATACATATATTTAAAGTTGTATATATATATGCATATATATATATACATATATATATATATACATATATATTTATATATATATGTATATATATACATATATTTAAAGTTGTATATATATATGCATATATATATATATATATATATATATATATATATATATATATATATATATATATATATATATATATATATATATATATATATATATATACATACATATATATATATATATATATATATATATATATATATATATATATATATATATATATATATATATATATATATATATATATATATATATGTATTTATATATATATTGTTACATCAGTATATATATATAATTCATAAATATATATATATATATATATATATATATATATATATATACATATATATATATATACGCACACACACACACATATATATATATATATATATATATATATATATATATATATATATATATATACATATATGTTAATATCTCGTAGTCAAAAGAGACTTTAAATGAAAAAAAAAAGTCTCTTTTAACAACTATTTTGCTACCTCAACAATTAAGCTACATTTTATAGTCATTGAAAAGTTAAAACAATTAAATTAATGCAGAAGTACATTAAGTTTTATCGTTATTTAAAAAACCCCAATAATAATGAATAGAAAGCTTTTTTTAATTAATAGTGTTTTTGCTTTTTTTAAAAAAGTCTTATTTTTTAAAATATTATTTTTTAAAAAACTCACGCACCAAATGAATTCTAGTTCCTAAGGGATTATCCATAAATTACACAACGTTAAATTTATATTAAAAACAGAAGTAAGAGATTTTAACGCAGCGATTTTCATCAAACTTAACGCGTTATTTTGATTTTTAATTTAACTTAATGCTCTGCTAGGGGAAACTGTTTACTAGTGAAATTTAAGATTGCATAGTTTAATAATAAATTGCACGAGGCATTACAAGTTTAGTTATTACACAACCATTCAATATGTGAAACAAAAATTCTACTGCAACCGAAATATCAAGAGACGTACAGAAAATAAATTTGATTCACTTTGAGAAAAGTAAAAAATTACGAATAAATCTCAAAAATCATTAGGAATAAATGCCAACAAATTGGCAAATATTAGCCAATCTAGATGGAACTCCTGGGCAATTTATTCACTACTTGCTTACATACTAATTCCTTCAGACAGGTAATGACTTGAGATTGTAGTTAAGCTTGTTGCTGGAAAATGGAAAGATCTGATTTTCAAATTAAATGTTTAAACCTGAAAATGGTAAAGAATTGGAGGAAGCCATTTATATATATATATATATATATATATATATATATATATATATATATATATATATATATATATATATATATATATATATATATATATATATATATATATATATATATATATATATATATGTATATATATATATATATATATATATATGCATAAATAAATTTAAATATATAAGTTGCTCAATTTAAAATAGTTATTGGTGCCTTAAGTTATTAGTATTTAATAAATTTGTCTATAATGGCTGACTGAAAAACTTTTTAATAACTTTTAACATATAGATTTAATTAACAAAATTTTAACAGATAGATATACAAAACTAGTAGAAGTATAAAATCAAAACTCCTCAAAACCAGACTTTCAAAACAATGTAAAAATTAGATTAAAAGACATATTCAGAAAATAATAAAAATAAATAACAATCAGATTTTAAGATATTAAATCAATATTACATTGTAAAAAATTAAATAAAGATTGTTATAAAGTACCAAATAAAAAGTAAATGTTTTTAAAATTTACAGAAAAATGATCAAAAACTTGTGCACATGTAAGCCATATTGAAACAATTTTTAGTCACCATAAAAAGTTCTACTTTGGTAGATTTGATACTTTATATTATGAAAGATTTTGCTGGTAACTTGTTTAATCTTTTATATTTTTGTTACTTTTAAGAGCCTCTCGGAGAAATTAGTGATGCTATAGCAAAATAGTTTAATATAGTATCTAAACATAAACATATAGAATGTCGCAAAATATTGTATTACAAAAATTACCAAGAGTATGAAAGTTATTCATTTTACTAATAATGATTTAAATGAGACTAGCAATGAATAGAAAAACTCAAACTAATTTTTTATGTTTTATTTTTTTATATACTTTATGAAAAAGTTTCAGACTATAAAAAATATATAAACTTTCAAGATATTTTAGAGCATTGATAATTGCTCTGTTTTTGTTTTTAATCAAAACAAATGTTTTAGGGTATCTTAGTTGTAGATTTTTTATATTTACATGAAACTTTATTTTATAAATTTTATAATAAACTTTACTATATAAACAGGATATGTGAAAAATAATAAAACAAAATGAAAATATTAATACCAAAATTTAGATTCATTGTAATTTATAAGAATAAAGCCCTGTATTCGTGAGTTACATATGCTTATTTCAACCTATTTTCCATACCCATAGCAATCATCCTTAAAAGTTTGCATCCAAATTTTAATTTAGTATTATACCAACCATTAAAAAAACATCTAAGATTAATTAATTTCGAGACATTTGAAATAATAATTTGTAAATCATTAGCACACGTGACATTTAGTACACTTTTACCATTTACACGTGTACTTCAAGCAAATGTCATGGTTTTCAATAAACGTACTTGATATAATCGAAACATAAAAAGCGCAGATTATCTTAAAAGCCTGGTTTTTATCAATACATATTTAATACTAATATAATTAATATTAATTTTATATAATTTAATATTAATATAAATATAATTTAATATTAATATAATTAATAAAAATTTTACAGATCTTTTTCTGTATATTTATTCAGTTATCAATAATTATTATTTACAAATTTAATGAAATCGCACACAATAAAAACAGTTCGTGATAAAGAATTTGATTTAAACGCATATCCTTATTATTGACGGTAAGAGGCAGACAAAGAACTCTTTTTTGTCAAAAGTTGCAACTATAGCTCCAACAGCCAATAAGTTTTTTTTTTTTTTTTTTTTTTTTTAGGTGCCCCAAGTAGTCCTTACAGTCTTATCACAGAGCACCGCGGAAAGGCATTTAATAGGAAGTCCACGCCTCCTTCCCAACCGATGTCGCAAAACTTGCCCAGAGGTGGGGTTTAAGTTGTACTAATTAAGTCTACATTTAAAACTTTTGAGCAATTTAAAACTTTTTACTGCGGTAGTTAATAATAAAGTCTACTCGATTAGCGTCTTAAATCGTGTTTCAATATTTTTCGAAGCCTAATTCAAATTGGGCCTCCTTGTTCCATACTTAGTTCTATACTATACTTAGATCCTTGATAAGCTGGTGCAGTTTGTGGCGCCACAAATTGCATGTGTAGTCAAATTAAGTTATTCACTTAATCTTATCGGATGAAACTAATTATCGAACTTATAATGTATAGTATGTATGTTATAACTATATATAGACGTGTATATATATATATATATATATATATATATATATATATATATATATATATATACATATATATATATATACATATATATATATATATATATATATATATATATATATATATATATATATATATATATATATATATATATATATATATATATATATATATATATATATATATATATATATATATATATATATATATATATATATATATATATATATATATGTTTTTAAATTGTTAAAAAAAAATTCAAAAATTTTCTCATTTTTTAAGATTTTTAAGATTAAACACGATTGTTCTATACACTGCCTGCAAACTCAATGTATGCTCAAGACGTTTACACTTACAGACGTTTGTACGCAACGCTACACAAGTGGTAGAACTATAGAACTAATGGTAAATCTTAGACCATTAAAAACTATAGATTATAAAACGCTAAAGGATCGTCCATAAATTACGCAAGCCTAAATTTATTTAAAAAAAAAAAAGAGAGAGAGAGACTTTAAGTTCTTTTACGTGGCGATTTTCATTAAACTTAATGAGCTGTTTTGATTTTTTATTTAACTTTATTCAACTCAGCGAGAGAAAACTTTTGATCTTTTTTGTTTAGTTCATTAGTAAAATTTAGCGTTGCGTAATTTATGGACGGTCCCTAATCTAAAGTTAAGCCAATAAATAATGGAGTGTAATACTATTTTGATCGCTATCTAAATTATGTCGTTGTTGCGCACTCGGTTTGAATGTTTAACGGGGGCGTGGCAAGCTTTCTGATTATATCGACATT